TTTAGATATCAAAGTTTAAGTTTTGCACCACTCTGACCTCTTCTGTAAATTTAAGATAGCTGCAAAAACTCACTTTGAACTTAAAATATCGACATTTTGCTTTAAACTGTAACTTCTAACCTTTTTAAACTATAACTTCTTTCTTCTTAAACTATAACTTAAACAATTAACAGCTTTCCTCTAAATATTTTACTGTTCACTTATTTTGATAGAATGTTTCTATAATTTTTTTTAAAAATTCTAAGTAATAAAGGCTCATAGTTTTACTAGTTCCTTAGTTTTGTGATTAAAGGAGTAAATATGATGTAAGTACTAATTTTTCCAAACATAAAAGTTATTTTAAATTTGTTATTATACATATATATATAAATGAATGTCTTTGGGCTAAGTCTGTGTGCCAAATGCAATGAAATTTGGCATATATATAATTCAAAGCACTAAGAAGATCATTGTCAGTGTTATAGCATTCTATGACGAATTGTTCAAGCGGGATAGGCAAACAAGGAAATTCTGACTAGTTAAGCAGTACCCATTGTTTTGAATTTAACTTTTGACAGTTCAGTTTTTCAACTATTTTAAATATGACATCAGTAGTGATATTTGTTAGCTTACAGATCTATTTGTAAAAAAGAGTAAGGAGTTTACTGCTAGTACGTTGAATTATTTTTTAATTGCTATAAAAAATATTCAGAATAAATTTATTCTGGCTAAATTTAATCATGACTAAAATTTCTGTGAATGATGCCCATCACTCAAACCTTTATATGCTATTAGTTTAAGTAAAAGTGAATATTAAATTTAGTTTATGTTTTTTATTCTTCATAGCATGAACTACTCATTCCATCAGGGTATGTAAATGTTAAAATACTTGTCAGGATTTTAGTGATTAGGTTGAAAACTATAAGTATAAAATCTGTCTTCATGCTGAGCAGTTTATAATAAGTTCTGTTATGTACTTGCAACAAACATCAACCCTATTTAGGAAATACAAAGCTTATTAAACATGAACTATTACTAGATATGTTAAATTTGAAAGGTAAAGTTTCAATGCAAAAATTGAACAATCCAAAGTTTTTTTTCATATTTCTTAGTTTACATGAATTAAGTACATTCCATTTACCTCTATTTCATTTGGTGATTCTCCTATTGCAGGTTTTATTTTAAAAAAAAACATGGGGTTTTCTTTTTATAAAAATGCTAAATTAGATAACTTCTGGTACTTGTATCAGAAACATTACCAACCATATCATCTATTTAGTTGCACTTGAAATTAATGTTTAAGACAGTATTTTTAAAAACTTGGCACATCTCTATTGGACTCACCCTACGCTATTTGAAGTAAGTTTTGAAATAAATGTTTTTGTTTTATTCAAAAAATTAACATCGTAGTTAATTTTTGAAATATTTATCCCTATTCTTCAGTTAACAGAATAAAAAATTTTCTATTGTATGTTTCAGTTATTGTTTCCACGTGAAGAGGATGAAATAATAGCCCGCGCAAAACTTTTAGACATCTTAAAAACTGCACTAAGGATGCAACTAAATAGGTAAAAGTTAAAATCCTTTTTGCACAAGTATTGTAGTGATATTTAATGGTATAATATATAATATAATACCATTAATAAAATATAATAAGTATTTTAGTGATTAACTAGAGCATCTACAATAAATCCCAAAAGGGTGTTTGACCTCTTTAGTAATTCTGTTCTAAATTTGAAATTTTATGGGTTGTAGCACATTCTTAATTTGCTCCCACATGGATTTAAATTAATTTCATTACATTTTTTCTGCTTACGATTTATAATTTGTTCCCAAATGAAAATTTCTTTTGTGAATGCAATAAATACATAGTAAAAGCTTGACTAGCCAGAATGCGGGTGAATTCTGAAAATTATGGTTACTTGAGATAAATTAAGGTTAGTAAGGCAAAGATCATGTATATAATATTAAACATATACATGGACTTTGCCTTACTATTGGACCCCTTTATTTAATTCATAATTTTTTTTAATGTAGCTTGAGATGGAAAAACAACAAAGGAATCAAGTTGAAAATTTGGCAGAAGCTGGATGTTTATCTGATGATGCTAAAGCTGGAATAACCCCAGCACCTGAAATAGTACCATGTCCTCCACCACCACCTCCACTTTGTATCGGTAAAACAGCTTTTATTTCACATAAATACAATATGTGTTAATGCATTCAATTTCAATATAATATTCTGTTATCACTGTTATCCAGTCAAGACACAAAATTCTGTCACACTTTTTAGTAGAAAATGAAAATTTTAAAAGTATTTATTCTTTGAAATGGTTTTATATACAACCATAAGTACATTAGGGAAAATAGGATTGTTTGAAAATATTGAATTTTGTTAGAATGACATGTAAGAAAAAAGACAGTACAGTTTTGAGGTGAAACCTTTGCATGTATTAACTAAAACTTTTTCCATTTTCAGGAACTTCCATTATAAAGCAGACAATTTTTAAAATTATGCTCTCTGTCAATCCTACACTTAAATAATAATCCAAGCCAAAATTTCTCTTGGTGATGATGCACATCGGTAACAATCTCTTAACCCCAAGTTGTTGACTATGATATAAAACCACAAATATATCGAGGCATATAAAATTGTTGATAAATATTGAATTTTCTGAAAATGTTAGGTAATAAAAAAAAAGAAACAGTTTTAAGGGAAAAATTATTCATTTATTAACTTAGTTTGCCATTCATACAAATAAAGAAAAACCCATTATAAATTTAACAAATGACATAAATTTTAAAACTGTAGTCTCTGGCAATTCTGCACATAAATGACAGTCTTTAGACTTAAAAATTGTTTCTTGGTTGGAAAAACATTCATGTAAAAAGAGATGATTTCAATGAAATCTAAGTCTCCTTCTTAGCTTCATGCAGTTTTATGTGCTTTTATGATTTCTTAGCTGCAAACTTTACTGCATCAAAAAATCAATCCCTGCCCCTTGTTATTCAATGTTAGTGTATAGCTAGGAAATTTTTGCACAATATTACCCAGGAGCTCAATGCTTATAGGGTCAAGTGAATTCTGAACAAATATTTTAGTATGGTAATTTTTCAACTGTTTTTATTTGTAGACATTTTATTGAATATTATGTTTTTTTGTGTCTTCTTTGATTTATTATTGTGATTATTTTCTGTATGAATAATTTTTTAGGTTCATTAAATGACAAACCTTTAAATTTGTCAAGAGTGATGTCTAAAAATATTCCTCAGCCATCAAATCCTTTGAAATCCTTTAATTGGTGTAAACTACCAGAAGTAAGAAAAACAAACTTGCTTATTAATATACATTTCAAAAAAATAATTCATAAGTGTATAACCAATGTTATTTGAACCGTTTGGGAAAACTGTACAAAGATATTGATTTACAAAAATTTGATAAGACATTTTGTGCTTATCAAAAACAGCAGGTAACATTTTCATAAAAATTAGTAAAATAATTTTTTTCTCTGATTGCATTGGATTTAATGTATAAAATTAAACTTAGATTCTGTCTTTTTTTCTCAATTTCTTTGTGTTTGAAGTGTGTTTGAATTCCTTTTAAGTTATGAAGTATTTCAGATTTTGATAAGTTTCTACTGAAATTTATTCTCAGTGCATAGCTCTTGAACGATCGTAAATATTGAGATCTTCTGTTTATTTCTAATTTGAAAACTGTGGTGAAATATGCATACACACATATATATAGTAAAGAAATAGGAATTACTCTACATTATTGTTAATTTTAAAAGATTATTATGTTTGGTTTGTGAAAATTAGTCATATCAGTTTTTCTTAGAAACAGCTTTTCTATATTAGTTAGGTTTCAAAATTAAGAAAAAAATTTTTTAAACACACCCTAATTAACAAGTCTCAACCTTTTCTTAAAAAAATATCAGTCTCTTTGATCTATACTTGCATTACAGAAAATTAAAAGCTATTATAAACGTATACATTTATATTATATAAGTGTACATTTTGCATATTTTAAATGAATGCCTATTATGCTTTTCTTAAGTACTTGTTATTAATTTGTAGTGCATTGGTTCTGTTATAGAAGATATACCAGTAGTGGTGACTAAAGCCAAATCAAGAGAACTCTCGGTCATTTATGGTAGGCATGCTCAAAATTGTACATTGTAGTTGTCAAAATTAAGACTCTCAAATGAAGAAACTAGCTTCCTAGATTCAATAGAACTTAGTATGGATAATAAGGAAGAGTTACCAAAAGATATGGTTGAGCAGGTGATTGATCTTTATATATAAGTATGTGTATGAAGGGAGCAGAACAGTTCTAAGTAAATTTTTCTCAAAAAGGGATAATTGGATCTTCATCTGTTGCATTTTGAGCATCATTAAGTTTTGACAAAGTAATCATGTGAAAAATAGTCTCTTTCCAAGCGTTATTACACAGTGAAGAAGGACGGTACTATGCTAAAACCCTACCTTTCCACACGCAAAATCCTCTTTCTTTGTATCAGCTTTCTCATTTCGCTTAAACTGTTCTTCCCTCGTAGGTTTCATATGTCATAGGTCAGTCGAAAAATTCAATTATTTGCTATGGATTCTCTGATATTTTCTAATCAGTCTGACTGTTTTTAGGTTTAAAGCAATAAGCTTCTTTTCTTAAATGTTCTTTTTTTAATGTTTCTGCAAATTAAGTTTACTTGGAATTTGAATATTGTAATAATTTTTTGCATTGTAACTAAATAAATAATTAATTTAAATTAATTTCTAATGATTGAGGCCCCTGGTTACGCATCAGCTACTGGTTCTTTTGACCATTGATGCTGTCCTCTTTTTTTTTAAACACAACATTACCAAAGTAGCAACTAATATTAGATAACACCAGAAAATCAATAAAATCTAACGTTATCTTGCATAACTTCTAATATTAAAAAGATACAAAAAGTCACTGTTTGCATTAGTTTTGATGCTATATGATGTTAGATTTTGTATTCTGATATTATCTTGCATTGATTTTTATTTTTTTGGAGTAAGCCAGAGGAAGATTTAGATGGTAGTAGAATAATTAGGTGATATAGTTTTAATTAATTTTCTGTATTGCTGTGAGGCAGTAAAACCTGGAACAATAGTTTTTATAATGTCATTCCATGTATTATTTACTTAGCAATGCAGAAATACTAAATAAAATTATACTAGTGAATCCCATTACCATCCATTTTCCTCCTTCCTACTCCAAAGTATATCTTATGTTCTTATATTATGATTTTTTTTTTGAATATTTCAAATTTATTTAAGAAATAATACTATATCTCAACTTTTATTTTTCATACATTTCTTCATACAACTTTTATTCTTCATACATAATCTTATTCTTCTTGCAATGTTTGTAAAACATGCTTTAAAAAAGTTGTAATTTAAGCCATTTGCAATTTGATAATTATCATTCATTATTTATATTCTGAAGCTATATAATAAAAAACCAAACTATATAATTGCAAAGTTAAATTTACATTTGAATTAGTTGAAAATATATCTTAATTTTTTTTTCTCTTGAAATGTAACTATGTCAGTCATTTCCAAAAGTATTAATATAAAATTATATCTAGAGTTTATAAATTGTTATTTTTGTAATAATTGAGACAATAGATTTTTTTTTAAAAATTCAAATTATTTTATTGCATTCTTTTCTTGCTATAAACTGTTTTTTTAGTGATTGTTCTAGGGAATTTCGAATGTTTTCTTACACTGTGGTAAATTAAAAAGGTTTTTTCATTCTAACTTAAAAATTCGCTGTGCTACTTGTCCAGCCATACACCCTTCAAGAAGTAAGTCTTCACTACAAAAAAAAATCTGTATGGTGGCCATTTTGTATAATAACGCACCAGAAGAAAATTTTTTTTTACAGTACATTGCTTGATGCCAAGGATCTTTTTCAGAATGTTGTTTAATTCAGCTATCTCCCTCAAAAAATTTCTCAAGCAATACTGATTTTTTTCACCACTTAAGTTACCTCACTGTAATTTTACCTCACTGTAAATTTTAAGTTACAACTCATATTGCATATATTTTTTTTACTTCATTTTTGCAAGGATTTTAAAACTATTTATAAAGTACAGAAATTGCGTAGCAACCTGTATGTTACTTTTTTTCTTGTAAATTTTTATTTAATATCATTGTTCTTGTTTTAAAGCTTTTGAAGTTTATGCCTAGTCATGAGGAAAAAGTCCTTTTGGAAGAACATAGCATAGAAANTCTTGTTCATCAAAGAAAATAAGACCTGGTGTTCATTTTCGCCTTCGCTAAATCGAATAATTGATTTCGTAATATCGGTATTTTTTATACATTGTTCACATGGAAATACATTTGGGGATTCGGAAAATATTCGTTACTTTGAAATTTTCGCTATTTCGAATTTCGCAAAAACGGAATTCGACTGTATTTCAAATTTATTTAAGAAATAATACTATATCTCAACTTTTATTTTTCATACATTTCTTCATGCAACTTTTATTCTTCATACATAATCTTATTCTTCTTGCAATTTTTGTAAAACATGCTTTAAAAAAGTCGTAATTTAAGCCATTTGCAATTTGATAATTATCATTCATTATTTATATTCTGAAACTATATAATAAAAAGCCACACTATATAATTACAAAGTTAAATTTACATTTGAATTAGTTGAAAATATATCTTAATTTTTTTTTCTCTTGAAATGTAACTATGTCAGTCATTTCCAAAAATATTAAAATAAAATTATATCTAGAGTTTATAAATTGTTATTTTTGTAATAATTGAGACAATAGATTTTTTTTTAAAAAATTCAAATTATTTTATTGCATTGTTTTCTTGCTATAAACNCATTCACTCTTGTTTACTTGTTTTGGGGAATTTCGAATGTTTTCTTACACTGTGGTAAATTAAAAAGGTTTTTTCATTCTAACTCAAAAATTCACTGTGCTACTTGTCCAGCCATACGCCCTTCAAGAAGTAAGTCTTCAGTACAAAGCTGTATGGTGGCCATTTTGTATAATAACACACCAAAAGAAAAAAAATTTTTACAGTACATTGCTTGATGCAAAGGATCTTTTTCAGAATGTTGTTTAATTCAGCTATCTCCCTCAAAAAATTTCTCATGCAATACTGATTTTTTTCACCACTTAAGTTACCTCACTATAATTTTACCTCACTGTAAATTTTAAGTTGCAACTCATATTGCATATATTTTTTTAACTTCATTTTTGCAAGGATTTTAAAACTATTTATAAAGTACTGAAATTACGTAGAAACCTGTATGTTACTTTTTTTCTTGTAAATTTTTATTTAATGTCATTGTTCTTGTTTTAAAGCTTTTGAAGTTTATGCCTAGTCATGAGGAAAAAGTCCTTTTGGAAGAACATAGCATAGAAATTGATAATATGAGCTGATAGATTTTTATTTGAAATAAGCAAGTATGTCTTATTTTTTTCTATTAGTGATTTTGTTAAAAGCTAAATTTATGGTATATCTTTTTCTACTGAAAATAAAAATTTAATTAAATTATTTCTGCAATATTTAAAATTGAATTGTAATACAATAAAGCTTGAAATATCATAAAAATCCAATTGTTCTCCAAAATGAAATTTTTTTACTGAAAATTTCCAGTCTCATATTGAATGAATTTATCCCGCCATTCCCCAATTTAATATTAAATCCTAAGTGATTTAATATTAGAAAATAATTTCTTTTGGTAGTCTCAGTTAATGATCAAAGTTCCTTGTTAAGAAAAACTTTCTTAACTTTTTGTTGCATTAAACCACCATTTTTTAAAAAGGACAAAATAAGAAAAAAATTATAGTACAGTAAAGCATATTCTTTATGTCTGTCAGGGGACTGATATATTATCAATGTATAAACCAACGGACGTATAACTTAAAAGGAAACAAAATGCAAATTCACCATTGAAATAATAATTTTAATAATGACTTGATGGAAGCATTGGTTTTCAACCTAATATTAATGATGTAAAAAACAATCAACATGGTTATTATATAGTTAACAAAACACCTGTTACAATTATCTGTCAGTGAAATTGTTTTGTGCTTATAAAACATTTTTTGATTTCTAGGAATGTTTCTAAAAACCGTGCTCAGAGATATGTGATTTCAATAATGAAGCTCTTTTTAAAGAAGACTATACAAAGTTTTTTGTGAGTACTGATCTTTTATGCATATCCCATTCTTTTTCAGCAAATAATTTAATCCCTACTCCCTATTCTTAACTACTACTTTTTTATGGGACTTACTTAGTTGAAATTAGGGGGGGGGGAGGATTCCTTTTGTGAGCCTTGCTTAGAACTTTATGAATCCAGACGAAAAAATTATATACTTAAAAAAAAAATGAGACTTGTAACCAATTGTTTTTTTAACATAAAAAAAAATTAAGATGCATAGATTAAGAATAAACTGGAAATACTATGAAATGACAAATAAATGAAAGAGATAAGCAATAAATAAAAGTTATAATAAAATAAATGATGATAATGGTATTAATAAATGTTAATAAGGGAAAAGGATAAGTGAGGAACATAAAAATAATGCTTTACTGTATATAAAAATAAAGTTTGTAAGAAATACATATTAATCGCTTAAGACAAATGAAAATAATAGCTAAATTTAACTTTTACATCTAAGCAGCTTTTAAAAATAGATCAGAGCAGTTTGGATTTCATCAAAATTTTTTAATAATGAATTTAAAAATTAATTTAAATGAAAAATTTATAGTATCTTGTTTTTTTTTTCAACATACATTATTTTTTTATTAAAAATATGTTATATAAATATTTTAAATGTACAGCTTATTTGAGGGTGATAAAGTATATAAATTGTTTTATTATGGCTCCTTACCAAATAAAGTTTTCATTTTGCCATCACAATAAAATTGTATATATGTATTTTTAAAAAAGTGTGACCTTAGATTTTTAAATAGAAAATGCTATTTTTTTAGTTTATTACAATTGACAGGTCCTGTATATATTTCCCTCCAAAATCTTCGTTTTTAACTTTTTTAATGTTATCATTGAAGTTATAGTTTATTTAAATTAAATGTACTTGAAATATTTGTAATTATTTAAATCAGTGTTTCCCAAACTTATGACTTTTGTGTACCTTTTTTAACTTCTCGTAACGCTGTCTACCACTAATAAAAAAAATTAATGTATTTTTTTACTATAAAAAAACAGCACTAAAGTTAAAAATCACATCTAGCTGTTGATACCACTAATTATTAACTGTTATCTCTGCAAAAAATAGTCAATAGAAAAACACTTGATCATAAAGTTTCATGGCTAGTTTTATTTTTAAATTAAAGTTTTTGAAATTTTCGTTTGTTGCAAGATATTTCGCATAATAACATGTACCCCAGGGGTGAAAGCGAGACGGAAAAGAGGAAAGGCTGGTAAAAAAACCATTTCAGTTGTTGCTAGTTTTCGACAGGAGTTTACTTATTTTTCTTTAAAACTATTCAACAATTTCTTCTTTATCTTAGAAAAGAAGCAGTTTTACTTATATCTTAAAACTATAGAAGAAATATTGATAGTTACAGATATTTTATTTTTCTCGAATAAATGCTAAAATGAAATGTCTTTCGTAGCAGTTTTTGCTCTTTTCTGTCTTACTACATAAGGGCTTTCAGCCTTTGTGTACCCCCGCAGAACTGTTCCTGTACCCCTGGGGGTACGAGTACCACACTTTGGGAAACACTGATTTAAATTTGTAAATTAGTTGTCTTTATTTTAAAATATTTCCGCAGCTTTATGAAACAAAATTGGAAAAGTAAAATCATATTGAATTAATTAAAATATAATACTTTTGATTGTTAACTTTGTCATCTGGCTACGAAAAATTCATATCCTTGCTGACATTCATGCGGAATTCAGCTAAATTTTGGCAATTACAATGGCTCACTCAAGCCAATCAGAAACCTGTAATTTTGTAAACATATCGCATTTTGCTATACGCCAAAATACAGGCTTTTGATTGACCAAATTTTTCCATCGTATTTGCGAAAATTTAACTGAATTCCGCACTAGAAAGTCATGAATTTACAAAATATAGATTTTTCTTTTGTGTTCATATGATAGATTTATGAAGGAGTTAACATAAAACTGACTGATTCTACACTGTACACATATTTTGTTAAAAAAAAGTTCATTAATGAAGGAAACCTAAAATAAAGTTTTAATTCGGTTTAGGGAGCCCCTCTGATGTGGGGACCAGGGCAACTGCCCCTTATGCCCCTACCTTTGTCAGTCTTTGAGTGTTTGACTGAGTAATGCTGTTATTTTTCTAATAAATAAATAGCAGTAACTAAATTTATTCACTTCAGATATTTTTCTTTTTCAAAATTGTTCATTATGAACAAAGAATTCAAACTTTATTCTGCAAAAAAATAAATTGCAAGAAAGAGTGAGTGACGCAAAAGCAAAATGGAGGTATTTTCTTATTTTAATTTATTGTCAAAAAATGCATAATTTGTATTTAAAATTATTCCCATCATTTTTACAATGGTTTTATTTTTTTTTAAAGAACGTTTTTCTAATTTTAGTGTTCAAAGTTATTTTTTTAATGATAAGGATATTTTTTTTCCATTCGAAGTTATAAAAAAAAATTCTTCAACATTAAATATTTTATATTAGGTCATTAACAATACATCTTTTTTATAAAAATATACATAACTTTAATTTTTATACTTGTTGGTGGAATAAGTGAGCATCAGATATAATTCTAATTTTATTCTCAATACTCATTTTTTATGTTGTTTAAATTTTCTCATTCAAACCCTGCTTTGGAATAGATATTTTTTAGAATGGAACTAAAAGAAAAATTAGATTCAGATTTTCATAGACATAATATGTCTATATGTAAAGTTCTAGCATAAGGTTTTGATCAATAACAAATAGTCTATTATAAATTTTCAATTTATGTTTACCAAACTCAAAAATTTGTTAAAAGTTAAGTGGAATATGGTATTATATGTCACTTTGAGCTACCTTCTTAACTTTTATATGTCACTTTGAAATTAGAAAGCCAGAAAATCTATCTTTTTCATAACTTTCAAAAACGTGACTGTTTTCTCTGTATCATGTAATGTTAGGTTCTATACAAAATAATATTATTTAGAGTTTGCTGTAATATTTTGCATAAGTTTTGATGCTATCTAATTTTATATTTTCTGTTATTATCTTGCATTAATTAATATTTTTGTAATAAACAAGAGGATGATTTGGATGGTAGTATAATATTTAAGCAATATAAATTTACTTAATTTTCTGTATTGTTGTGAAGCAGTAAAACATGGATCAGTAGCTTTGTCATTCACTCATTGTTTACTTAGCAGTACATACTAAATAATAATTAATTCTGCTATCATCAGTTTTCTTCCTCTTCCTGCAAATTATACTTTGTGTCCAGCTGGTTTTTTGTGAATGATGAGATGGCATTGCATATTTCTTAGGTTTTAAAATTTCTTTAATTTCTTAAATTTAATTTTTTTAATCATTTTTAATTCAATTTTAATTAAATTCAACTAATTATTTCATTTTTATTACATTTTATATAAAGCTAATATAAATATTTTATTCTCTTCTTAACAATCAATGTAACGGTTAACGTTTTAATTTAATACAAATGTATAACTCATTAATTCACTGTTGTGGCTAAATTGAATATCAAAATCTATTTTTAATTCTTTATTCCTTGAACTATTTTATTTCTCTTACCACAAAAATGTTTCAGTTACAGGGTTATATTAATTCTTGTGGTCTTTTGGGTGATAAAGTTGTAACCAAATTATTTAAAATTTAATATTATTAACACAGACTTTGTTTTGGGCTATTTTATCTTTTTATAAATCTCTGACTATGGATCTCTTCCTGGGAACATTGGGAACAATTCAGTAACTGTTTATTTTAAATACTTGGCGTTAGGACTGGGGAGCTAGTCCGCCAGTGACAAAAATTCTCATCATTTTTAATAATGCATCTCTTGTTCCTATAAAGGGAGCCTTTATTTTGTTTTTCTGGCCATGGAAGTAAATTTCAAAATGCTCTCTAAACAAAACAACCATTGATTTATCTATGCAATAATATCTCTTCATAAAAATCATACTTAAAACAGAACATTACCACTACTACGATAATTATTTTCCTATAAAAACTGGGCTCAATGTCTAATCAGAAAAACTGGAATAAAACCATCATAAATGAATATTTCCAATTTGACTAAAAAAAATACTTGTAGCTAATCTTTTATTGATAATTCTTTTCCTTACAAAAGAGTTTTCTCATAATTTTTACATCATTTATCTTTTTGAAGTGTTTATTTGTAATTTTAAATTCATTCCCTTTTATTATTCCCAGTGAGCCATTTTTATCAGAATTTGAATTGAATATGTTTGTCTAAAAACATGTTTTATTAAACTCATCTCTATTCGTCTCTTATTTAACTTTAATCATTTGTAATTTCACATTGATCATACAATATTTGTATTCTAAAATTATTTTATAAAAACTATACTATATAAAGTTATATTTTTATTTGAATGGAGTAAAAATTCAAAATTAAAAGAAATAATTTTTTTTTTACAATCTTAAAATGTAGTTGTATGTCATTTATTTCTAAAAAATAAAACTGTAGCTTTATTTAAGGATTTATTCAAGATTAAAATAAAATTGTTTGAATTTTTAATTTATCATTTTCTGTAATGATTATGTCGATAAAGAAAACAATTTTAAAAATTTTTTAAGTTACTTTCTTCCAAAAATTTTCTTTCACTTTTTGAAATTCTACCTAACAAAAAATCTGAATCAAAATCCAAAGGCACCGAAAGAAATTTTTTAAGGATTAAAACCTGGAAAACATGAAATATTTTGAAAATTGTCAGTATTTTTTTTTTTTGTAAAAATAATTTTATGTGGGCACATCAGAAATTTTAAACAGTTCTATAATTATTTAGTACTACACCCACAATATTTGCAAAAAAATTAACATAACATTTAAATTTCAAAACCAAAAAAAAGGTAATAAATATTGGTTTATCTAGAAATAAATTTACGAAAACATGTAATTGCACATGAATCAGATCAAAAACATACTTTTTAACATTAACTAAAAAAGCTGTATTTAGTATTTATGATCAAAATTTGACAACTATCAGTTATTATTTTCAGAAAGTAATCACAACATTTATTTTTGTTTAAAGCAAACTTATACAATTGCTTGTATTTTGCTCATTCGAGATTGTGAATTACAAGCATTGTAAAAAGGTTTACAAAAAAAAGGTGTAATATGTAAACATTTTAATGGGGCATTTTAAAAGACGAAAATACAAAAATTGAAGAGATGCTCAAGTTAAATTTTGGATATTGATGAATAAGCGATAGAAAAAGCTATTCGAAGCATTTACAAACTTGTTTTTACAAAGACTATACAGGACCTTTCAGACGAAACTTTATACAAGATTCTTTTCTACAGTGATTTAATTTTTTTTTTACCATAATGTAGATGTTTTTCAGCTAAATTTTAAACATTAAGTCAATCGAAGAATTTTTTTGCTATTATCATTATTTTACTGTTATATTATTTTAAACATAATGCGAATAAAAATTTTGGTACTTGTCTCAAATTTCAGCCAAATA